GTACTCATAGACACTGCAGCAGCCGTTGGGAAGGCAGCTCTCACAGCTGTACAGCTTCGTCCGGGGCACGTTGACATTACAACAACCATTTACCAGGAGGTCCTTTCTCTCACAAATGTAGCCTGACAAAGAGAAACAGTAACAACTGGCAAAACAAGCCTATAGTAAGAATCACATTACTTAAGAACAGGTTTATTTATCATTTAGTAGGTTATGAGCCCTTCTCAATTTCACTTAAGTCCTAGCTAGCAATTATTTGAAATGACCAGAGTGGAGCTTCACAACAGCCTGGTTTTATCTGCACAACTATTATGTACTTACTGTAATATGCTGTATATGCAGTATAAGTATTTAAATGTAGAATATTTAAGTTCTGATTTCTTTTTTGCATAATTCATTGTTGTAATTGGAAGGGAAAAGGTGAATGGTGATGACAATACTGAGAAAACTATGACATATGTTCTTTAAACAGGTCTGTGTCTGGTTAACTCTCTCTACAGTTCAGTATGAAGAGACTTAAATTTATCCATGCATGACAGCTGTAAAATTAACTGTTGAGAGGAATCCTTTACAGTGCAGAACCACAGTGTATGTCTCTATGAATACTGTACTACCACAGTGCTAAGACCATGAAAAATATATGTGATTTTACAGACTCCAGTGAATCAGCAGTAAACACAATTCAAGCAGGGTTGCATTTAATATTGATGCAACTCATGGAACATGCAGTGGCTCTTCTACAGCCTTGATTTCTGGTTAGGAAAGGTCTGAGGAGCAAGCACACTGAGGAAGCATAAATGCAGGTTAGGAAAGACTCCATACACTTAAAATGAGTGGTTAATTTGAGAACCTGCAAGAGAGATCCTTGGGTTGATGAGGGTCAGATGAGCTTGTTAACTGTGACTGAGCCCTAATTATACCAGTCCTGAGCTGCCTCCCTACAGGGCCAATCAGGTTTCCCTGATTCCTCTCCCTAACATACCCGATAGTAGGAAATGCACTGCAGGGAGATACAAATAGCTCTGCAAGCAACCACACTCAATTGAGCAGGACTCTCCATCTGAGCCCTGTGCAAAGGCAGCTGGAGTTCTTAGACTCTGCAGTGGTCCTGGAAACAGCACAGCCACACTCAGAAGGTGCCATGCCTGAGCTGAGCCCAGCTGGATGCAGCCTGCTGTGCACAGGATCAGATCAGCAGAGTCTGCAGCCACAGAAAAATTAATCCAGGCTGAGGATAAAATGCCAACAGCTGAGGCTGTGCAGCAAGAATGCCATCATAAGGAGCAGGCATTCCTTGGCAGCGCCATCACCAGACAGGCAAAGCAGCATTCAACACTGCAATATGCAGAATAAAATTCTTAGTATCAAGTATACCCAGTTCATCTGTAATGAGGAGCTTCCCCTGCACAGAATTCCTGCACTGGTTACTCAGCTGACTGCTGTTTCCAGAACTGAACTTCACCTTCCACATGATCGGCTGCTCGTGCTCCTGCACTTGGAGGAGATTCCGATCTCTCACCATCCTTTCTTCCTGCAAGGAAACACAGCACTGCAGTCAAACATTACAAGTTCCTTCTGCCATCCCAACCCATGTGCCTTTCCCACAATTAAACGTGCCTAGCAGTTAAGTCAAATGTCAGTGGAGTAAGGAGCACAGATGACTTTTTGCTACACACAGCGTGAAAGGAACAGAACCCAGAGGAACAGGGCTACACGAGTTCATCTCAGGATCAGCAAACACGGCTGAACTCGGTCGTTACAGCCACAAAAGTAGCATGTATTATGTTAAATAACCTCAACTACACATATTTTCCAAGTGCTTCGCTAGAAAAATTACAGCTCAAAAACAGGCATTAGAGCAGCACAATCAAGTCTCTTCGAGATTTTCTTTTTCTAGCTTTGTGTCAAAACACTATTGCTGTCAAACGCAGGATCAGACACGGCTGTTTAAAGCTTTATTTTAATAATCAGGACGAACTCCTAACGGAAATACATGTCACGTTCAGTCCCAGCACTCGAAGAACGAGTTACCCCGGGATAAGGGACGTTCCAACCCGCCCCACAGCGAGCGGGGACCGGCGGGACGGGGGCTCCGGGGAGAGCACTGACCTGCTTGAAGGTGCTGGTGAGGAAGTAGATGAGGGAGAGCCCGAAGACGATGCCGAGGACCCAGCGCTTCC